AAAGAATGGGAGAAGAATGAAAAGAAGAATGAAAAGAAGAAGAATGAAAAGAAGAATGAGAAGAAGAATGAAAAGAAGAATGAAAAGAAGAATGAGAAGAATGAATAGAAGAATGAAGAAGAAGAAGAAGAAGAAAGAAAAGAAGAATGAGAAGAATGAATGAAGAAGAATGAAAAAGAAGAAAGAAGAAGAATGAAAAGAAGAATGAAAAGAAGAATGAGAAGAATGAAAAGAAGAATGAAAAGAAGAAGAAGAAATGAAAAAGAATGAAAAGAAGAAGAAGAATGAAAAGAAGAATGAAAAGAAGAAGAAGAAGAATGAAAAGAAGAAAGAATGAAAAGAAGAAGAAGAAGAAGAATGAAAAGAAGAATGAAAAGAGAAGAAGAAGAATGAAAAGAAGAAGAAGAAGAATGAAAAGAAGAATGAAAAGAAGAAGAATGAAAAGAAGAAGAAGAAGAATGAAAAGAAGAAGAAGAAGAATGAAAAGAAGAATGAAAAGAAGAAGAAGAAGAATGAAAAGAAGAAGAAGAAGAATGAAAAGAAGAAGAAGAAGAAGAAAGAAGAAGAAGAATGAAGAAGAAGAATGAAAAGAAGAATGAAAAGAAGAATGAAAAGAAGAAGAGAAGAATGAAGAAAAGAAGAATGAAAAGAAGAAGAAATGAAAAGAAGAAGAAAAGAAGAAGAAGAATGAAAAGAAGAAGAAAAAAGAAGAAGAAGAAAGAAAAGAAAGAAGAAGAAATGAAAAGAATGAAAAGAAGAAGAAGAAGAATGAAAAGAAGAATGAAAAGAAGAAGAAGAATGAAAAAAGAAGAAAAGAAGAAGAAGAATGAAAAGAAGAAGAAGAAGAATGAAAAGAAGAAGAAGAAGAATGAAAAGAAGAAGAAGAAAAAAGAAGAAGAAGAAGAATGAAAAGAAGAATGAAAAAAAGAAGAATGAAAAGAAGAAGAATGAAAAGAAGAATGAAGAAGAAGAAGAAGAAGAATGAAAAGAAGAAGAAGAAGAATGAAAAGAAGAAGAAAAAGAAGAAGAAGAAGAATGAAAAGAAGAAGAAGAAGAATGAAAAGAAGAAGAAAAGAATGAAAAGAAGAATGAAAAGAAGAAGAAGAAGAATGAAAAAGAAGAATGAAAAAGAAGAAGAAGAAGAATGAAAAGAAGAAGAAGAAGAATGAAAAGAAATGAATGAAGAAGAAGAAGAAGAAGAAATGAAAAGAAGAAGAAGAATGAAAAGAAGAAGTATTCCAGTACAGCAAAAAGTGTATCTGCAGAGAGCTCCGCTATTTCTGACAGTTCTCTGACAGTTCCTTCACATTTACAGCGGTTGAAACATTGTATCTATTTATTTCCGAATAAAAACATCTGTATCCTAAATGGAAACAAATAGATACAATGTTTCAACCGCTGTAAATGAACTGTCAGAACTGTCAGAAATAGCGGAGCTCTCTGCAGTGACACTTTTGCCGGCTGATCGGGAAAAAATTGATTTGTGCACCCGAAGTTTGCTAAAATTCGGATTCGATGCGAATCGAATTTTTCCTGATATTCGAAACGAATTCCACTTCGCCAGGTTTCGATTCGCTCATCTCTATTCGTGGCGATACCTCACGTGTGTGGTTTGAACGCCGTTTACATATGTGGGCATGGCCTATGTATGCATTCACCACTATGTGCGAGCACAGGGGACGGGGGCACTTTAAACTTTTTAAAAAAAAATTTATTTAATGTTTAGATTTTTTTGTTGTTTTGCACTGTCCCTTTAAAAAAAAATTAATCAATTTTATTCTTATCACAAGAAATGCATGCATCCCTTGTGATAGAAATAATTAGTGACAGGTCCTCTGTATGGAGATATATGGGGTCAATAAGACCCCACATCTCTCCTCTACAATGTAAAGCATTGGATCAAAAAAAAAGCATTGTCTAGTGCTTTAAAAAATAAAATGGCCGGAACGGGAAGTGACATCGCTCCGGTCCTCCAAGGGCCAAAGCCATCTTTCCTTCACTCATCTCTATGCCCAGTGCCGGGATTGATGGTTTCTCAGGTAAAGCTGAGAACTGCCGAGCGGTGGCTGTGGCGGTGGGCTAGGGGCAGCGGCAGAGGGTGAGGGGCGGTGGCGATGGCAGATGGGTGGTGGAGAGGGGCGGGCGGCGGCAAGGGGTGGGTTTTTCGGTGCATTCAAAGACATAATCTTGCCAAAGTAAAAAACAATAGTAAGACCAGGTCACCAAAATGTTGGGGAACTACAGAGAGCACAAAGAAGGTCAACTGAACTGATAAGAGGCATGGAGGACCCAGCTAGGATAAGAGCATTACCTTATCACCAGCAACTCTCTCCTTCCCCCAGACAAAAATGGTCATCTCAGGTGGATGCATTGCTGACTGAGTGATGCAGGGTCTGCTAAAAGTGTAGATTTAAGATGGCCATAGATGGATTCGAAATTCGACTGGTTCAGCAGGGACCGGCTGAATTTCAATCTATGTGTGGCCACTCCAGCACAACAGAAATTTATCTAATGATCACCTTATGTGGAGTAGGCTTCTTGGAATTTTTTCTTAGGTCAGAAGCTGGAGCCACTGATAAGTGTATTCTAACAGCAGAGAGTACCTTAATTGTGCGGATGAAGGAATCTGTTTTCTTTTTTGTTCATTCCCACCCCCCACCTCCAATGTAAAATGAACAGAGGCAGACACATTTGAATAAAAGCATAAGTCGCTCAATAATATATTGGAGGAACGAACCACCCTGGGGTAGGATAAGTGTTACTGGCAGGATCGTGTCATAATAAAAGGTAAAACACCTGGAAAATGACTAACTAATGTAGTCACCACATCTAAAGACTGGTATGCTGCAATATATTATTATTTTGCTTTTGGGTTAGTTACAGTTCCAAAACCCACACATTATGAAGGACATCTGCCTTGAATAAAGCTCTAAGTTGCTGATCAATATTCATGGGGAGCTATAGGTATATTTTTAGTAAGTAAATATTTGGAGTCATTGTTGTAACCTTCACCTGAAAGTAATTTGATGTGTATTTCACATTTTTACATGTCTGCACCTCGTATTTTCATGACTGTATTTAATTTACGGACTTGTGAACTCTTCCTACTGTAGCTATTGAATACTACAGAGTTGAATGGGCATCCTTCTGTGATAAATCCTATTACAATATATTATAGAATAAACCATGCAGGAATTGTATTGATTGCCAACAGACAGAACAGACTAATAGACTAGCACCGAAACACTGAAATTGAGGATTGGTAGAAAAACGACTAGTGTGTCACTACTAAGTTGCAGGCAGAGCCAGCATAGCCAATTGTAAATATGGCTGCCTCCTTGCAGGGTCGGTGCTAGATTATTTTGCGCCCTAGGCAAGACCAGCTACTTGCACCCCCCCAAAAAAAAGAATTTAAAATGGTAAAAAAATATTAAATCAAAAAAACATGAAACTGCTACATTTCTTTTAATTCGCAAAAATAAGTGCCATAAGATGCCACCAGCACCAATATTAAAGACAAACTATATATTAACCAAATATAAATCAACTGTATTAACCAATCAGACAGAGAAAAAAAAAAAGAGACAGCGTTACAAAACTCCACAATGATTTGCATCCGCCAGCTGGCTTGCATTAAGGCACTGAGTCTGAGAGGAACACCGGAAGGAGTGACAGCTCAGCTGCTAAACTGACACAGACACCCGACATCTTCCTCTGTACTTTCTTCCTCCCCCTCTGCCGCCTATCTCCTCAGCTGAAAGATCATTCATGATGTGGCAGCGCAGCTTCAACTCTTCTGGGAAGGCTGTCTACAGGGTTTCGGAGTGAATCTATGGGAATATTTGACCATTCTTCCAGAAGCGTACTTGTGAGGCCAGGCACTGGTCGGATGAGAAGGCCTGGCTCTCAGTCTCCGCTCTAATTCATCCCAAAGGTGCTCTATTGGGTTGAGGTCAGGACTCTGTGCAGGCCAGTAACATTCCTCCACCCCAAACTCACTCATTCATGTCTTTACAGACCTTGCTTTGTGCACTGATGTGCAGTCATGTTGGAACAGGAAGGGGCTATCCCCAAACTGTTCTCACAAAGTTGTGAGCATGAAATTGTCCAAAATGTCTTGATATGCTGATGCCTTAAGAGTTCCCTTCAGTGGAACTAAGGGGCCAAGCCCAACCCCTGAGAACAAACAACCCCACACCATAATCCCCCTTTCACCAAACTTTACACTTGGTACAATTCAGTCAGGCAAGTACCGTTCTCTTGGCAACTACCAAACCCAGACAAGTCTATTGGATTTTCAGACAGAGAAGTGTGATTCGTTATTCCAGAAAACATGTCTCCACTGCTACAGAGTCCAGTGGTGATGTGCTTTACAGCACTGCATCCAACGCTTTGCATTGCACTTGGTGATGTCAGGCTTGGATGCAGCTAGTAGGCCAAGGAAACCTATTCCATGAAGCTCTCTACACGGTTGTTTTGCTAATCTGAAGGCCACTCCAAGTTTGGAGGTCTTTAGTTATTGACTAGACAGTTGGCGACTTCTGCGCACTATGCGCTTAAGCATGCGCTGACCCCGCTCTGTCATTTTATATTACCTACCACATCCTGGCTGAGTTCCTGTTGTTCCCAGCTGCTTCCACTTTGTTATAATGCCACAAACAGTTGATCGTGGAATATTTACTAGTGAGGAAATTTCACGGATGGCACCATATCACGGTACCACACTTGAATTCACTGAGTTCCTGAGAGCGACCCATTCTTTCACAAATGTCTGTAGAAGCAGTCTGCCTGCCTAGGTGCTTAACCGCCTCCTGCCCGCCATATAGTCCAATGACGGACGCAAGGCGGTTCTCTCGTTCTGTGAGGACGTCATATGATGTCCTCCCATTCTCACCGCGCATGTGCGGCTCCGGGAGCGCGCAGCACGGCGATCGGTGGTGCGCTGTGTCCCTCTGACACAGCGGATCACCGATCCACAGAAAGAACCGAAGATGTCGGCTCGGTCATGTGATCAGCTGTGTCCAATCACAGCTGATCGCATGTAAACAGGGAAATGCCGGTTATCAGCATTTCTCTCCCCACGAGCTGTCACGCTGACAGCTCGTGAGGAGAGGAGAGCCGGTAATCGGCATTCCTTGGAGGGGACATGTGCACTGATCATCAGGGCACTGATGATCAGTGTGCCCTGATGATCAGTGTAGCCCCAGCAGTGCCACCTGTCAGTGTCCATCAGTGCCAGCTGTCAGTGCTCATCCATGCCATCTGCTAGTGCCCATCAGTGCCACATCAATGCCACATATCAGTGCCTACCAGTGCACATCAATTCCACATATCAGTGCCCATCTGAGTGGCCTTTTAGTGTCTCCCATCAGTGCCAATCAGTGCCACCAATCAATGCCAATCAGTGCCACCTATCAGTGCTGCCAATCAGTGCCACTTGTCAGTGCCAGTCAGTGCCGCCTATCAGTGTGCATTAGTGCTGCCTATCAGTGCCCGTCAGTGCTGCCTATCAGTGCCGCCCAACAGTGCCAGTCAGTGCCAACTAACAGTGTCAGTCAGTGCCGCCTATCAGTGCCACCTATCAGTGCCGCCTATCAGTGCTGCCTTTCAGTGCCCATCAGTGATGCCTGTCAATGCCCATCAGTGCCACCTACCAGTGCCTCCTCATCAGTGCTCATCAGTGCCACCTATCAGTGTCCATCAGTGCAGCCTCATTAGCGCACATCAGTGAAGGAGAAAAATCACTTATTTACAAAATTGTATAACAAAAACTAAAAAAAAAACTTCTATTTTTTTTAATTTTCAGTGTTTTTTTTTGGTTTGTTTAAGAAAAAATAAAAAAACCCAGAGGTGGTTAAATACCACCAAAATAAAGCTCTATCTGTCACAAAAAATGATAAAAATTTCATATGGGTACAGTGTTGCATGACCACGCAATTGTCATTCAAAGTGTGACAGCGCTGAAAGCTGGAAATTGGCCTGGGCAGGAAGGGGGTATAAGTGCCCTGTAGGCAAGTGGTTAATTTTATACACCTGTGGCCATGGAGGTGATTGGAACACCTGATTACAATGATTTGGAGGGGTGTCCCAATACTTTTGGCAATATAGTGTATCATCAGTCCCTGCCCTTGAGGAGCTTACATCTAAGGTCCCTAACTCACATTTACACATACTAGGGCCAATTTAGACAGAAGCCAATTAACCTACCAGCATGTCATTGGAGTGTGGGAGGAAACCAGAGTACCTGGAGGAAAGCCACACAGTCACAGGGAAAACATACAAACCAATGACCCTAATGCAAGAGCAAGTGCTAACCACTTAGCCACTGTGCTGCCCATGTAATCAGTACTAGTACCATAGACACTTTTAAGGGTCCTGACAAATTCAAAGCACTCTACAGCCACTTGTCAGATTCAAACCTGTCCTGGACAATGACAGTTGGAGAATGAAAGTTTGAATGTAATTGGTGGCCATGGGACAATGCTGAAAATTCCTAATACTGACACACTTGATACATCAGCCCCTATGTGAACTGAGGCATATGCTTGCTGCCCATCTGAGCACAGTGAATCCAGTTTAATGTTCTCTCCAGCAGTGCTCAGAAGAGATTAAAGGGTGACAGATGGGGGTGGAGGAGTACAGGGATCAGCAGCTGTAATTATTATTGTGTTTATCTTTGAATCTATCTCTCTCTGATAGATGAAGGAAATGTGTCTTTTATCCTCATGAATTCTTCACACTTGTATGACTGAGTGATTTCACCATTAACTATTGCCTCATCCATGGCCAGATAAGTTGCTTTTATTGCTCTCAACTCCCCTGCATTTCTTGTAGTGATGTAAATCAGTGCAGTATGTGTTGTAACTCTATTTGAGGACTGGTCTGAATAATAAATGTTGGATTTTGTTTAAAGGTTTTCACTTGTGTTTTGTTTTTGAAAGGAAATAATGTATACCATTAGATGAATTAATGATACTGTAGGACATAAAAGCAAAACCATATGTAAACACCATTTTACCAAAGACATTAACTCCCTTCTGTGAATGTATAGAGAGAGGTGTGTGAGTATGTTTTATTTTTATCATCATGGGCCTATGTGGCTCCTGCAGACGTTGCCTAATGAACATGTCTCAGGGATAACTTCATGATCACAAGAAAAAAGCCGTTTCATATTTACAGTGTATGTATAGCCAAAACCTTTTTTAATTTAGATAAAGTAGGGAAGGGTTAAAAACCTCAATCTGCTTCTTTTTTTCTCTTTGTCCCATTGGGGAGAATTCCTTTTACTTCCTGTTCCAGAGTCAGAACTGGATCTGAAAGAACAATTTCCCTTTTAAGAAGTGTCACCAGAACAGAAGCCTCCATTGAATTATTTCCCTTCACCTTTTGCGCATCTGTAAAATGCTGAATTTCCCATCACTTTCTGTTTCAGTGATAATGTTTACCTGGAAATAAAGAGAGGGTAGGCGTTTTATACACTTTTAACAAAAGCTTACAAACCCACCTCCCTAGTACTGATCATAGCCAATAGCCATAGCCAATGCAGCTATTTTTTAAATAAAAAAAAAATTAATTGCATTCTTAAAATGTACAATAGCTACTGTATACCATGCCAGGACAAGGTGCCCAGGGTGAGGATGTCAAAATAAGCCCCACCCCATCCTGAGTTTCTTATTAATGTGTCAGGTTCTTCTCAGAACAAAAATACAGGCCGGGTCTATACTTCACCGGTTGGGCTGAGATCACTCCACCTGACAGTGTTGCAGATTTATTTTTGGTGGTTCGGGAATACAGAGAGCACCCGAGCACTGCACTGACACTCTGCAAGCTGATCTGTCCTATTCTGTTTGTTGGACATTGGTCTGGGGATTGACTTTAGTAGTTAAGAGTAAGTAATGTGAGCTAATGATGATTAGGCTTCACCCCGACTGGACACTAAAATGTTTAGTCCGGGAAAGCTGCCCCTCCTGTCCTCATTGCAGTGGCCCTGACTGGAAATATCTATATTGGAGTCTGTTTCGCTTTGTGTCTATTAAGGTGCTTGCAGTAAAAGCCAAGGAAACACTTAACACTCTGTAGGGTTTTAATGCTTTTACTAAAAAGACAAGCTGCACATACAACTGCAGGAAACACAATTCATAGCATACAAAGTATTACACAATATGTCTACAACATGCACAAGCTGATGTCAGCACCTGTGGTAGTGAGCTCTTGTTCATACTCAACTTGGGGTTCCCCAGGGCACGGAGTCTATGCCCCAGCCTGCTTCTTAACCAGAGCCCCTGATGGTGGGGATGGACTTGCAGCAAGCTGGGACCAGGTACACCCAGCTGAGGTTGAGGAGACCGCTCGTGGGAGCAGAGTATAATGGGAGGAGACAAACGGAAACCGATAGGCTAGCCGAGGTCAGGACAGGCGGAAAATGAGCAAGGTCAGAGAATGAAGCCGGGGTCGGTACACAAATACTCAATATAGGATTCAGGCAGTAGCAACACCCAGGAGCTTCAACAACTAGGAAGTTGCTCAGGCAAAGTGGCCTAGTCTGAGCATGTCTTATATAGGTAGGAAACAAGGAGGTGGGCCAGGAAGTGATGGAAGGGAAGGAAATAAAACCCAGAGAACAGCAGACGACACCCATAGGTGAGCACAGACAAACACGAGAAGGGATCAGGAACAGGACTGCAGCAAGAAGGTAAGAACACAAACAAGAAACTGCAGGCTAACTTGTGACAGCTGACTATATTTCTAGTAATAAGAATTTACCATGTATGTAACAGTATACTAATCAGCTACTTAACTTGGGCTTCCTTGTGATGGAATCTTCTTATGGTTCCTTCATCTTCTCAGAGTCCAAAGCCTCCACAGTCTCCAGAACAACTCTTGCTACTCTGTCTTCCAGAACAACTCTGTCTTTGTCTTCCAGAACATGTCTGTCTTTGTCTGAGCACATGGCCTGTTCAAAGTCCTATTCCGCTCTCCCTACTACTTCATATCCTGTAGCCTTACTTCCTCTGCTGAGCTCATAAACCAGTCCAACTGATTCATTTGCATATCAATAGGGGAGTCCTAGCTTCCAAACTAAAATCTAACTAAAAACTAAAATCTAAGTTCACATGTCTAAGCTAGAAAGAATCACCACATACCCATAGCAACACAGACTCTTTTAGTTTCCTCTACAGAGGAAAAAGGAGGGGCAAAAAATTGTAATGATGTTTTATAAACATGGTGCTGCTCTCACCATCCTCCCTACAGCCCTGGGCACTGGCCCACAAGCTGTAAAGACTGCCCTGTATGTGGCCAGATGTAGCTCAAGGACTGTTTTGCTGAATGCATCACACTGGCATTCTTAATGACTGGAAATCTTTGTAGGCAACTCAAAGGACTGTTTTCTCATGCAAACAATTGTTTCTGTTTTCATGTCAAGACTGCACTAAAAATGCAAATACTTAAAGCTTGTATTGCTAGAAAAAAATGACATAACTTCTTGAAGGCTCTAAAACAGACATTCAAAAGGCAAATAGCAGTGTCAGGTGTCCTGTATGTACTGTACATGCACTGACAAAAAAATGCTGACTGGAGGGGAGAACAGAGAGATGACATCATTTGTTGCTGCTTGTTGCTCAATAAGGCAAATAGAAGTGTCAGGCTATTAGAAGGTCCGTTTCTTTCATGAACAGAAATATGTTAGATATTTAATTACCCTAAGTGGTATACTAAGAAAGGTTGGCAGATGATACAGCGGTTCATCTGCAAGGCCCATAGCCCTGTGGGGCCATAACTAACCCTGATCTGAAAATGCTAATGTATTTTTTTCTAACTGCACAATTGAAGCACCTTTGTGATATATTAATCTGTTAGAAGAAGCATTCCTGCTTAAGTGGCTGTTATATTTTAACTCTTTTTGGTGGTATCAAAAATATAATTAATAATAAAGGGCTGGATTTCTGCATTACCAGCATAGATATGGCCTAGGGTGGCAGGGCAGCCAAGAGCTTTACACAGCTACTTACACTTTATGTAGCTGTCTGTTACAAATTCCCATGTATAGCAAAAGGATCCAAACTGCTACCTTGCTTGCACTGCAATTTTGTTCTTACAGTTCATCTACTCTGGGTTTGTACACTTAGAAACAAACTGCTAGCTGAGTAGGTCAAGATTTTTCCCCAATCATTTGGTCATCGGTTCGCCCAACTTTGGGGTGCCATGCAGGACTGCTGTTAGAAACCACAGAACCCCATACAGTCAATCTGACAGACACCCCCCCCCCCCCACTGCCAAAAAACACAGTTTACTATGCTCCAGTTGTTCATGAACACAGTGAGTTATCATTATTAATATTATTATTATACAGTATTTATATAGCGCTAAAAGGTTTGCTCAGCGCTGTACATTATAGTGGGGGACAGTACATGAGACAATACAGTAACAAGAC